AGAAAGGGAGTATTATGAAGATTCAGCCAGCCTAGTTCTTGAGTGATGCTATGGCACTATTAGAAATAACCTTGTATTGTTGAAGGCTTTCATGGCTGGAATCGCTGGGTTGTTGTATGATGTCCACAATGATATCCAGGATGGGGGAAAGAACTCTTGTCTGTTGGTGGTAGGTGTGAATGTTTCAATTGGCCACCTTGATTAGCATTGAATGGCCTAGCAGTTTTCAAGGTGTGGCTTGTTACTGCCTGGGGGAATCCTTTGTTGAGAGGGGATTAGCTGTCCCTGATTGTTTCTTGTATGGAATTCCCATTTTTGAGTGTTGTTCTTTATTTACTTTCCTGATTTCAGAGCTTTTTAATACTGGTAGCCAGATTTTCTTCATTTTCATGGTTCCTTTCTGTTGAAATTGTCTACATGTTTGTGGATTTCAATYGCATGCATTAAAAGAAGCCAGACCTTGAAAACCGCAAGGCTATTAAATGCTAATCAAGGTGGCCAGCTGAAACATTCACACCTAGCTCCAACAGACAAGAGTTCTTTCTCCCACCCTGGACTTTCCACAGATCTATAAACCCAATTTTCCTAGTTTCCAACAGACCTCACAACTTCTGAGGATGCCTGCCATAGATGCAGGCGAAATGACAGGAGAGAATGCATCCAGAACATGGCCATACAGCCTGAAAAACATACAACAACCCAGAAATAACATCATCATCATCATCATCATCATCATCAGAAACACAACAAGATCAGTCCACAGCGGATACTATGCTGGCTGTTGAATTGGATCACACATCGGACACTTCCCAAGTGGTTAGTGTGTGARGTATTGGCAAATAATGCATGCATATACCAGTAAGGTGGCCTTTTGCAGCTGACAGATGGTAATCTTGTCAGCACTAATTGTGTTTAAGTGCAGGCCAAGGTCTTGAGGCACTGCACCCAGTGTGCCGATCACCACTGGGACCACCTTGACTGGTTTGTGCCACAGTCTTTGCAATTCAATATTTAAATCCTCTTATTGTGTCAYCTTTTCCAATTGCTTCTCATCCATTCTGCTGTCARCTGGGACTGCAACATCAACAATCCAAACTTGGTTTTTTAACACGATTGTGAGGTCAGGAGTATTATGCTCCAAAACTCTTGTCAGTCTGAATCCGGAAGTCCCAGAGTAGCTTGACGTGTTCATTCTCTGTAGCTTTTTCCGGCTTGTGATCCCACCAGTTCTTTGTTGCAGGCAGATGGTGTTTGTGGCACAGGGTCCAATGAATCACCTGAGCAACGGTGTTGTGCCTCTGCTTGTAGTCTGTCTGCGCCATCTTCTTGCAGCAGCTGAGGACGTGATCTATTGTTTCATATTATTATTATTATTATTATTATTATTATTATTATTATTATTTCCCTTTAATTGCCATGACAATGTTCTTTGAAATGCTGGGGTTAAACCACAAAATCCAGAATTCCACAAGATGTTGCTATGGTAGTTAAAGGAAAATATACAGAATTTCATTGATTCTAAGAGTGTATGTAGTTTTACAAAGTCTTTAGCCTTCTCTGCTAAAGAGAGCTGGTGCCTCAGCAAACTATAGTTCCCAGGACCCCATAGCATTGAGCCACGGCAGTTAAAGCGGTGTCAAACTGCATTCATTGTACAATGTGGATGCATTCAGTGTCTGTCCCCGACTACAATTGGGAAGCCATGTTTGGAAGCAATTCTCAGCCTGGCTGACCTTATAGGGTTGTTAGGAGGATAAAATATGCAATGGCACAATGCAAAGTACTTCTGGGAGGTGTAGTTTTACAAGACTTTGGGGTGCCTCCCCAAGCTAGTAGTTTTACTAAGGGTGAATCTACACTGTCGAGTGAATGCAGTTTGATAGCACATGAACTGCCATAGTGCAATGCTTTGGAGTCCTGGGAGCTGTAGTTTTGCTAAGGTCGCATCTACATGATCAAATGAATGCAGTTGACACCACTTAAACTGACATAGCTCAAGACAATGGAATCTTGGGAGCTGTAGTTTGAGAAGGTCTTGAGTCTCCTCTACGAAAGAGAACTAGTGCCTCACCAAACTATAAGTCCCAAGGTCTCATATCATTGAGCCATGGCAGTTCAAGTGGTGTCAAGCTGTAATGATTCTACAGTGTAGATGCACCCACTAGTCTTAATACACCATCTTTGTGTGCCTCCTTAAATGACAATTCCCAGGATCATGTAGCCTTGAGCTATGGCAGTTCAAGTGGTGTCAAACTGCATTCATTTTACAGTGTAGAGACGTCCTTAGATGCAAAGGTTGGACACTATTTGAACTGCCATGGTGCTATGCTGAGGATTTGGGAAGTTGTAGTTTTGCAAGGTCTTCAGATGCCTCACTAAGTGACAATCCCTGGGATGCCATAGCCTTGAGCCATGGCCATTGAAAGTGGTGTCCAGTTGCATTCATCTACAGCAGTGGTTCCCAACCTTTTTTGACCAGAGACCACTTGAACCAGAAACACTCTCCAACATTAGTACCAAAAGGGTTATGAATCGTTTTTTGGTCAACTTTAGATTTGGTTTGGTTCCTTTTGGTGCTGATTCAGAAAATTGCATTGGATAGACCCCATCCGCTCTACTTTCTGATACAGAACATATTCCGCCCAGTAGTCGCCATCTGCTTCCCCACAGAAAAACATATTTAATAATCTAGAGCTGATGAGGTAGTAGGAATCTTTCGTGGGTAGTCAGCCTCTCCCATCCCAACATCTCCATTGCTTTGGCACTAGAAGAGGGTTTCACAAGACTCTTGTTGCCGTGTGGTTTAAAGACAATGATGTAGTAATGGTGAGGACACAGGCCATATTTTTGTTCTTGCAGACTACTGGTGGTCCACGGACCACAGGTTGGGAACCACTGATCTACAGTGTGTAGATGCACCTTGACTCAAGGTCCTTGAGATACCAAGACATTGACATCAAGGTCCTTGACACCAAATGCCATCCCTTATATGAAATGGCAGACTCAAAAGTGGCATCTGCACTGTAGAATGAATGCATG